CCTGCCACAGCCAGGACTAAAGGCAGACTGTACTAAGCTAAGCCTACTTTTCAACGAAGAAACACCGCCGCCAGTGGGAGAAGAAAAAGAACGCCTCAGCCCCGGGGAGGCTGGCGTGCCCAAGGGCATTACTCCTCTGACACAGCACAATGGGACAAGCCCTGTCACATTAAAAGATTGTCATGAGTCATCTCCATCTCATTTTGCCTTTGTTGTCCAGGTGCCACATCAGGGACCAGGCACAATGTGAAACAAGGCGGAGGCACTGCTCTCAGCACAACACAGGAAGATCACCGATTACCCAGTGTGGTGTTGAGATGGGGCTGAGGGTGCAACAGGGAAGGGGTGCGACGGGGAGGCAGAGGAGGAGGGGAGCCCCTATGGTGGCTCCACCACCAGCCCATAAACAGAGGCCGGGCTCTGTACAGCAAAGGGACACACGGCACCAGGTGCCAGGAACGAAACTGTTGGGAAGACGTGTAGGAAAGCTCCAGAGTTTGCAAAGGACAGGATGGGCCCTCCAAACACGCGGAAACGCTTTCAGCGACTCCTCTCCCTGCACTATCAGTGACCAGGGCACAGACAGCCACGGTCACTTTCGGATGCAGGGGCAGAGAAGGGCAGAAAATGAGCTGAGAAGGGAAGCCCATGCCTGGGAAATGGCCTGAACCACAGGAACAGACCCGCAGGAAAGTCAATGATGACTTACAGCCTAAGATTACAGAAGCGACCCCTGATTCTCAGAGATTTTACCACTTCCTGCCAAAAGCTGAAGGGAAGACTAACATAAGGAGAGAAACCCTTGGATTTATAATACTGAACGTTTGACAGGATTCTTACTCAGACTACAAGGGAGGCTCAGCAGGTTGCTGGATAAGAACCTGGGTTTGACTCTAAAACGCAGCCCTCTCTGTCCATCCAACCTGCCGATCTCCTGTCAGTGTAACAGCCGCCTTCATCAGGGGCTCTTGGGAGCAGAAAAGGGCTCAGGCCTGTGCCCACCCGCCTGGGGGAAACACAGATGGAACACCGAGAAGCACCCTTCACCACACTCCCTCAGACACCCAGACACCTGACCTCCCAGTCTGCACTGAACTTAACCAAACCAGGCAGGACACCACTCACCCAGGCCTCACAATCCAGGCTCTCCCTGAGGACACCGCTCATGCCCAAGAACAGCAGGCACACAACACTCCTGCAGGGGACAAAAAGTCAGCATGTGATCGGCCCACTTGGACCTGCTTACAACATGTTCCAGAAACTATGCTCAGCAGGAAATCACCAGGGGAAGCCAGGCCTTAGGAGGTGAATGCACTGACAGCCTGTCTCCCACAGTCCTCAGGCCCCCTCGTGCTCGGTCACTGCCACAGTCACCTAGGGCTGTCCCCTTTCGAAGGACAAGCATGAAGTCTTCTGAACATGAGGAAAAGCTTGCAGCTTCTTTGCCTGTATTACGAATTCCACGACACAGGCAGCCTGTCATAATCCCAACATGGCGGCAGAAAGGGACACAAGCTGCTGAAATCCCGACCACTGTCAGAAGACCTCGGCTGTGGCTCCGCAGGAGCCCACACATTCACTGAGGCGTGTGTAGACAGCACTCAGCAAGACACGAGGGGCCACAAGGCATCTGAAGGGTGGTGGAAGAGGGCAGGTGTGGGAAGGCTCCAGAGTTTGGAAGGGACGGGGTGGACCCTCCAAACACGGGGAACTGCTTTCCACAATTCCTCTCCCTGCACTATCAATGACCAGGGCACCTGCAGCCCACAATCACTTTCGAATGCAGGAGTAGAAAAGGGCAGATGAGCCAAGAACAGAAGCCCATGTGGGCAGCCTGCTGTCCACCCAGGCAGGGGAAAGCTGCCCAGACAGGCAAAGAACCCCCAGCACCATCATCACGTCATGTATACATTCACCTCCCTCATCAACAGGGTCCATAGAGAAACCATCTGCTGGTAAAAATGTGCAAATTGTTTCCTCATCCTACAAGGACAGACTGCGTACCGAATACGGGGGCAGACACCGTGGGTTCAGAAACAGAAAAACACACAGAGCCTCTGCCCTCCCAGAGCTGTTGCAGTAAAGCTCAGGACAATGAAGGCGCACCAGAGGTTTCCCAGCTGATGAGGGGCTGAGTCGGAACCTCTCTGGCCCCCAAATCCAGCCCCATCCACTACACGACGCCTCCTCCTGCACAAGGGCTTTGCAAGGTGGTTCTCACAACCCTCCCAAGTTCCAGGACCACCCCTCGGGTGGAAGGCAGGCCACAAGCCCCGTGCTCAAGGCGCTCACCAGCAGTGCCACTTACCCAGGGAACAGCCTCACCCCCAGGTCGCCGCGGGGGCGCATCAGGGCCCGGCAGGCCATAAGGGGTGCCGGCTGATGCGGAGCCCGCGAAGCCGTCCAGGGAACTTTCCATCTGTCTCCAACAGGGCCGCGCAGCCCGCAAGGCCTAGGTAGGGAAAAGCGACCAGAGGGGCTTCAGTGCAAAGCAGGGAAGCAGGTATCCAGACTCTGGCCCTTTTGGGGTCCTGGGAAAGCCCGCAATTTAAAACTCACACAACCAACTGGTCAGTGAAATAGAGATGTTAACACTGTCCTTTAACGGTGAGGGATGCGAAAAGGGCTAAAGGTCAGAAGGGCACTGTAGGCCTCCGACGAGTGGCTTCGGGGGATTAAATGCCTGTGTCCCAGGTCGGGGAGGAAGAGGGGGTAAGGAAGGGAGTTAAAAGTTCCGATGCTCAGGCGCCCCTCGGGCCTGGGGTTACACCGGGCTCCGCACGACTCGCTGCGGGACAGGGTTCCCGCCACCAAGCGGGGCGAAAGCTCCCATGTGGCTGGAGGACCGCACCGGCCAGCTCCGCAGCAGTGGGCCGACGGCGCGGCCGGCCCGAGACCCCTCTCCGGAGGACACGAACCCCTAGAGGTCCACACCAGCGGAGAGACGGGCTCGAAACCGCGGGCAGGGCCTGGCCTCGGAACTGACCTCCGGGCTGCTCTCCCTGAGCCCTAGGGGACTCGGTTTCCCCTTGTTGGAGAGGAGGCCGCAGATCACGCGCCCAGCGCTCCTCTCAATGTATCCACCTGGGGCGCCGCAACCGACGGCGCAGGACAGCGGAGGAGACAGAGACGGCAGCGCGGGGCGAGGCGGATGTCTGCGGATTTGGAACACCGCACGGACCTGAGAAGGATCCACACCCCAGGAGCTGCAAAAGGCACTTCCCGCCAGAGCTGGCGGAAACGTACCTACGGCGCGGCCTGCGGCCTAGAGCGCCGTCTCTCCGGGGCGTATCCCGCGCAAGCTGTCCCTTCGCGCCCCCTGGTGGAGTGGAGCTCACATTCGGACTCGGGAATGCTTGGGGTGAATTCCAAAAGGATTCTGGAATTTTGAAATGAACTTCCCTCGCTTGTTTTGCTTTACTCTTTGTTCTGTGTATTTTCACTGATTTGCCAACAACCTGTAGGAATGCTTACTCTTCCACGTGAGAAGCTGTTACTAGCAAAAGCTCACGTTGACTGTGTTCAGTTTGGACAATAGGGATCTGGTTTGTTTAATGGTGATATTCATAGTACCTAATTTAGTGGCTGGAACAGTTGAATTTACGAATGAATTCTGGCCATGTATTTATTTGAACATAGCCAGAGTAAAATACTGTTTCGATGACCTGAAACTGGAACATGAAGGTGGCAAAGAGATGAGCCTGGAGAGGTGGGCAGGGGCTTCACTAAACTTTGCTAAACTAAAAGTAAATGAGTCCTTGAAGCAGAAGAGACTTAGATTTGCACAGTGGCAGAGAGGACAGAGCCCATGCTCCCGACAGCATACTGTAGACAGACTGGAGAGGGGTCCCACGGCCCCCTAATCTCGCAAGCACTAACACTGCCTGCATCCTGGGCAAAGGGGTATCTCTGGGACCTGAAACAACCCTGCCACTGACTCGGCCCACATTTTCAAGTGTAAACAGCCCACCCTTGTGCCTGAGGAGGGGGCTCCCCATCAGATTCCTGGAGCTCACTAGGTCAGCACAGGTGGAAATCCAGGCCTGACTGCTGAACCAAGAGGGAAACGGGGATCTCTAAGGGTGAGAGCCCTCCGTGCTCTGTACCTAGGGGGAGACCCGTGGGAGCCTGAGACTGTGACAATGTTGGGGATCTCTGTCATGGGAGGGTCCATGGGATGCGGTAGCTTTGAGAATGCTGGACAAGGACGTCAGGGGCCACACAGCCCTAGTGTCCTCTCCTGCCTCCTGCTCTTGCTCTTACTGTCCATGTGACCTTGGCTAAGCGGCCTAACTTCTCTGCCCAGTCTTAGCTTTCCTTTTCTGCAAAATGGGTGGAGTCATAACACCCTGCTCCTAGCCTTGCTGTGAGAATTAGGTGAAATGATTGACATCAACAGCATAGCACAGAGCAAATTGCCAAGGCCTGATAGTTGCTATACTTCAGTAGTTCCAAGAAAGCTGAGCACTTCTGTGACTCTGAGGACACTGTGAAATTGTGAGGTAGAGTGCACTGGGTTTGGAAAGTCTAAGGCTGGGCTGTCCAGTAAAAATCTCATGCCAGCCACATATATAATTTAAGATTTTTTAGGAGCCACATTAAGAAGATACCAAAAAAGGTGAAATTATTATTATATTTTTGAGCAGTGAGAAAGCTTTATTTAAAAGAACACTTAAAGGAAACAAAGTGCAGGCAACCTCAGAGAGAAGGCATGCTGAAAATCTGGGGGTTCCATCTTTTAAGGATTTTCAGGAATGTGACAAAGGGCCAGGGGTGATAGACTTGTTAAGTAGTCTCAAAATGCTTATCTCCGGTGAAAGACATTATGTCTCCTCTCTTCTGTTATCAGTCCTCCAGCTAATTCTGCAAAATAAACTTAACACAAGAAATTGATTGATCCTGTTCTTCCCCAGGATAGTGGCTTTCCTCTGGGAACGTATTAGTTAAGACTGTTTGCCTTGCTTTTAAGGTGCATTGAGTTACTGTCTGTTTACCAAAGAATGCAAGAGAAATCTTGCTTTTTCTTTAGAGTGGAATCTTCAGCCTTAAGATGGAATTTCTCATGTTCTTACTATATTGTTTATATCTCAGCTTTTTAGAAAATTAATCATGATGCCTGTCTCCTGTCTCTGCCCTGTCTCAGAACTGTTACTTCATAATATACTGGGGGTTGAGCTGGGGTCTCCTGCATGTTTTGAGAAGGTTCAGCCTCTATAGTGGCTTCTGGAGTTATGAATGGTAAGCTCCAGGTCCAAAGGTAGAACTGTGACCTCAGCCAAGGTTGGAAGCTGAACCTGAACCTGATCTGGATGTGGAAGTGTCACCTCAAAATAATTTGGAGGAGCTGCAGACTGCTATAGGACTGTAGATTGGTCAACCTCCACGCAGTTTCTGGATTTATAGTAAGCCTCAGGTTCAAAGGTTGGACTGTGATATTGAATGTTGGAGGATACCGAGCACAATCCTGATACAGAGTTGGAGGTTCTGGAGTTATGGTGAGCTCCAGGTCAGCAGATTTAACAATGACATTGAACAAGTCTGAATGCTGAGCTTGATTCCGTCCTAGAGATGGAACTGCCACCTCATTGTGGACTGGAGGTTGTGCTACAACTTCAAGTGGGTCTAGAGGCCAAGCTGAAGACTCCTGCTGGGTTGGAGAAGGTTCTGCCCTGTTCGGTAGAGGACTCTGGAGGCTGAGGTGGGGCTCCCTGCTGAACTGAACACACAGGGGACTCTGAAAGCTGAGAGTGGAGCTCATGCTGTGTGGGAGGTGTCACCTCCTTTCGGGGCTCAGGAGATGTAGCTGACTCCTCTTGGGGGACTGGAGACAGAGCTGGGTCCTCCTGCTGGGTTAGAGGTGTTTTGACCTCTTCAGTGGGCTTTGGAGGATATGCTGAGACCTCCTGCTCAGTTCCACATGATTCAGTCTCCTTCAGGGGTTTTAATGGCTCAGCTAGGGGTTGCTGGATTGGAGAATGTTTAGTATTTTCAGGGGGAATGATGATCTGGAACCTCTTGCTGGAGTGACAAAGGTTCCAACTGCTCAGGAGATACTGCAGGCTGTTGTTGGGATAGAGAAGGTTCAGCCTCTCTAGTGAACTCTGGAGTTCTGGTAAGTGTCAGAGCCACAGGTTTAATAGTAGGCAACATCAGAAGCTGAGCTTGATCCTGACCTACAGGAGGAACTGTTACCATATGATGCTCTGGAGAGTGAGCTACACCTTCATTGGAGGGCTCTGGAGACTGATCTGGGGCCTCCTGTTGGGTTATAGAAGGTTCAACCTCTTTAGAGGCCTGTGGGTGCTGATCCAGGGCCTCCTGCTGGGGTGAAGCAGGTCCAACTTCCTCAGAGGTCTCTGATTGCTGAGCTGGGGTCTCCTGCTGTGTGGTGTCTCATGAGCAGTAGGTTCCGGAGATGGAGATGGAGCCGCCTGTTGATCTGACAAAGGTTCAGCCTTCTCAGGGAGTTATAGAGGCAGAGCTGGGGGCCTCATGCCGGGTGTAGAAGGTCCTACATTACTAAGGGGCATAGAGGGCTGAGCTGTAGCCTCATGCTGAACTGGAGAAGGGTGCACCTCTGCAGTCGATTCTGTCATGGTCATCTGCACATCTGCAGCTTGGATGGGGACCCAGGGAAAGTTTGACTGCTGAGCATGACGGTGACCTGGAGACAAAACTGGAGGTTGGGATGGGTCTTCCTGCGGTGTTGGAAAAGGCTCTATCCCCCAGAAAAAGGCTCTGGAGCCTGAGCTGAATTACTCCTGAAGGATTGCAGATGGTTCTACCTTCTCTGGAAAATTAGCTGGGGTCTCCTGCTGGGTTGAAGATTCTGTTTCATTAAGGGGGCCCTGGAGGCTGAGCTGAGGCCTCCTCCTGGGTTGGAGAAGGTTCAGCTTCCCTGTGAGGCTCAAAAGGCTGAGCTGGTTGTTCCTGTTCTCTTGGAGAAGGCTCAGTCTCTGCAAGAGGCTCTGAGGCTTCGCTGAGGTCTCTTGCTGAGCTGGAGAAGGTTCTGCTCCATTGGGAGGTGGGGCCTCCTGCTGGGCTATTGGACATTCAACAGCAGGCTCTGGAGTTATCTTAAGTTCTACATCCACAGGTTTGAATGTAACACTGCGTAAGTTTGAATGAGCTTGATACTGATCCAAAGGTCCAGCTCCCATCTTGTCACTCACTGGAATTTGAGTTATATCCCCAAGCAGGGAACTCTGGGGCTTGAGTTGGGGCTTCGTGCTGAACTGGGAAAGGTTCAACTTCTTCAGGGGGCTGTGCAGCCTGAGTGGGAACCTCCTGCTGGATTGGAGGAGGCTCGGCCTCTTCAGGGCTCTCTAGAGGCTGAGCCAGGGCCTCTTGCTGGGCTGGAGAAGGGTCAACCTCATTAGTGACCTCTGGAGTTAGGGTAACTGCCAGATGCACAGGTTTCATGGTGACACTGTGCAAGTTTGACTGTCGAGCTTCATTTTGACTTGGAGATGGAATATTTACCTCATTTTGTGCTAATGATGGAGCTACAACCTCCTTAGGTGAATGTGGAGGCTGAACTGAGGCTTCTTCCTGGATGGAAGGCTCAGCCTCTTCAGGAGTATTTGAAGGCTCAGCTAGGGACTCCTGTGGGTTTGCAGAATTTTCATCTTCCTTAGGGGACTCTGGAGGCTGAGATGAAGCCTCCTACTGAAATGGGAGTAGTTCTGTCTCTTCAGGGGCTCTGGAAGCTTATCCTGGGAATCTGCCTGGGGTGAGAAAGATTCAGTCTCCTCAATTTTCTGTCCACGATGAGTGGGGATTTTTTTTCTGGGAAAAAGATTCAACAACTTCAGGAGCCTCTGGAGATTGATGTGAGTCCCCCGAAAATTCTATAGGTAGCTTCTCCTTAGGAGAGAAGATATCCATACTGGGATCTAAATAATCATCCTGCAACTGTTGTTCTAAATATTTTTTTTGCAAATTGGCCTGGAGTTCCAATAAGAACTTTGGCAAGCCATTGACGCTGAGCTAGATCTTCAGGTTTGAAGGTGAAACAATAAACCTTGCTGGTTTTGAACTATGACTACCCAGAGGTGGAACAACTTTGGACCTTCCTTGCTAAGTAACTGAGATATTTGTGACTAATTACTTAAACTTTTCTGGCTTGAGAATTATTAACTTTCTTGCCTGAAAACTTGAACATTCCAGAAAGTGATATTTGACTTCAGCTCACTTTCTGTCACCATACTAGCTGACCACATCAGTTCTTCACTCATAAGACCTTGGGGTTCCCTGGCCAAGGGCTTCAGACATCCCTAGCTATTTTTCTGAGACTTACAGTGTAAAAATAGAAGATTACTTGTATGATTTCATCATTATTTACGATATTGGCTGATGATTTACAAGGTATTTTCTATTTCTAGAATTCTAAGAATTTTTTAAAGTTATAAATGCAATTAATTTTTATCAAAGACCATGATCATGATAACTAGAAAGTATTAAACTAGCTTACTATAAGCCAACTACTTTTTCAAAAAGTGCCAATGGTACTGCATTTCAATGTATTAGATTGCCTATATTTGAAAATTTTTAATTGTGGTGAAGTACACATGAAATTTACCATCTTAACCATTTTTAAATATTCAGTTCAGTGGTGTCAAGTACACTCATATTGTTGTGCAAACAATCTCCACAACACTTTTCATCTTGCAATACAAACTCTGTACCCACTAGATAACTACCCATCCCTCCCTTTCCTAGCCCCTGGCAACCCCCATTCTCCTTTTTGTCTCTGAGTTTGACTACTCCAGTACTTCACGGAATCAGACAGTACTTATCCTTTTGTGTCTGGCTTATTATACTTAGCATAATGTCCTCAAGGTTCATCCATGTCAGAGGAGCAGGTGCCAGAATTTCCTTCCTTTTTTAAGGCTGAATAATATTCCATTGTACATACATGCCACATTTTGTTTTCTGTCCATCTGTCAATGGATTCTTGGGTTGCTTCCACCTTTTGGCCATTGTGAATAATGCTGTTATGAACATGGTGGTGAAAAATATCTCTTTAAGATCCTGCTTTGCTTTCAATTGTTTCAGGAATATATCCCTACGTGGAATTGCTGGATCATATGGTGATTCTATTTTTAATTTTTTGAGCAACCACCAAACTATTTTCCATAGCAGCCCTCCCATTTTGCATTTTTTAAATCTATTTTAAAGTTGAAAAACTGAGGTTCAGAAAAATTAAGTAACTTGCTAGTACAGCTAATATGTGGTAGAGCAAAATTTTAGTATGTCTGTTATATTAGTTTTCTAAGGCTGTCATAACAAAGTACCACAAATTGGGTGGCTTAAAACCTCAGAAATTTATTCTTGCACTATTCTGGAGGCTAGAAGTCCAAAATCAATGGGCAGAAAGCATTCACAAGGCAGGAACATAATTCCTGCCTTCAAGGGCACTGGGGCCAAGGCTGCTTCCACCTAGAAATTTGCCACTGTTTTTCTAAAGAAACGTTTGCATCTACATTTACTAGTGAATTGGCCTGCAATTTACTTTTGTTTTCTTGACCTTGTCTAATTTGGGGATCACATTTATTATGTGAACTGAGAACAATTCCCTCTCTCTTTTTTAATCATCTGGAAGACTGTGTAAGACTGAAAAAGTTTTGTAGGGCTTTCTGATAAAGACACCCGGATATGATGTTTTCTTTGTGAAAAGATTGTGAACTACTGATTCAATTTTTTAAAGTATTATAAGATTATTCGGCTTTTCTATTTTTCCTTAAGGCAATTTTGTTCACTATTTTTCAGGCATGTGTCCATTTTATGTAAATTTTAAATGTTATTGTTCTCTCACTTTTTACTCTATACTCTGACTATACTATGACCCCTTTCTCTTTCCTAAAATTGTTTGGCTATATTGCTCTAAATATGGTTATGCTCATTTCCTGCCATTTTAGTTTCTGTTCTTATCTTGTTGATTTTACTTTATTTGGATCAATTAAGAATTTTAAAAGTTATAAAAGTTATTACCCCATCCAGCTTCTAACTTCATCATTTACTGACTCATACATCCACTCCCCCAACTCCTCATCTCTCCCCTCAGCATCCTCTTCTTCCTTTTCCTTCCTAGTCCCCCTTTCTATGGAAGTCCTTCAAAAGCCCACCAGGGCACACCACCTCCAAGAAGTCACCTTTATTTGTACATTGATTGAGGGACAACTCTATTCATGGCCCCACAGCCAGCCTCCAAGCTCCTTGTAGGATCCATGCTTTATCTCACTTTGAAATGCAAAATCAAGAAAGAAAGTATAATTGTTCCAGATTGGGTTGACATCCAACACCTTGTCAGATGAGGGCAAGATATCACAATTGACAGTCCCCACAAGACAGAGTTTAACAGGAAAAGTGAACGCACAAGAAGATCAGGGAAAAACAAGTAGATAGGTCAAAACTACAGATATCTTAGCCATTCAATATCCAGAGTCATATGAAAACAGGCAGTTTGTGGGTTCTAGTTTTTCTGAAAATGCTGCCAAAAGTTTTACTTTGAAATATGTTGTTGGCTGGTGATGGTCTGTATCACATGATGAAAATACCCTTTTAGTCCAAGTTTGATAAAATATACTTTTCTGATCAGTAACAGAAATTAAATATTATGTCAAATATATTTTCAAACCCCTACAAAATTGAGCTTAGATTGCTTTCTGAGTTCAAATTTTGACTCTGATACCTACTTCTAGATACCTATCAGCCATGGGCCCTGAGCCTCTAGGCACATTCTTGCGGGTTATGCCGGAATACAAGGCCTTGGCTGCTCTTTACCTGAGCCGTTTCTTAGAGCTGTGTTTTGCAATGAGCAACCTTGAAGAATGAGAAAAAGTCCCCTCCCAGACTAAAGGCAGGTTGACTTCCATTTGCTATGAGAATGGTGAATCCCCCAGGATCTGTGTTCCTCTCCTGTAACACTGTGACACACTGTGTGTGCAGTCACCCATCATAGGCCCTGCACCATCCCATGGGACTTGTGAGGCACGGGAACCCACATGAACATAAAACTCTCTCTGCTTTGCCATGGGTAATGAAGTCCTTATACGGTGGTTCAGGAATTTCATGAACTCTGCCGGCATCCACAAAACAACGACAGACTAACTTCTTAGCTCATAAGGGTTACTGCTCAGACCATGCACAGTTCTTAACACATGTTAACTGCATGACCTTGGATAAATTAAACTTTCTGAGCTTTTGTTTCCTCATCAGCAAAATGGGTAATAATAGCATTTACCTTATAGGACTGTTATGACGATCAAATGGATCAAAATGCCTGAAATATTGTACATGCTTAAAAAACATTAATCATTACTTGACATTATAATTGTACTCCTCTGAGTGTTGATGGGGGTGGAGGGGGTAAGCACTATAGTGACAGATATACTTTGAAAAGAATTGTTGTGCTGCCTCTGTGAATTGTGCACCTTCACATTGTTTTATCTTTTATATATATCCATGAATATAATCTGCTCATCTTCTCATGATTGACTCCTTTTTCCGTCGGGTTTTAGATTAAATATCATTTCCCCAGAGAGGCCTTTTCTATCCACCCTGGCTCAGTAGATCCCCGCTCTTATTGTCTGTTATACCATTCAGCTCATTTCCTTTGTAGCATTTGTCATGATTTTTAATTATTGAGTTTGCTGGCGTAGTTGCTTATTATCCCCACTAGAATATAACCAACAAAGTCAGGGGATACATTTGCCTTTGTTTAATTCCCAGTGCTTAGTCCAGTACTTGTTATAAACTAGCTGCTCAGTAGATTTTCTGGATGGACAGGAGTTTAGATGAGCAGATTGATGAGAAAAAGGAAGGGAGGGAGGAAGGGGGAAGGGAGGAAGGAAGGAAGGATAAATGGGTGGATAGATGGGTGGATGGATGAGGAAGGTGGTGTTCCATAAATGTTTTCCGGATAAATGGATGGATGGATAGGAAGATTGGAGGGATGTTTGGAGGGATGTACTTGGCGAGAACGATTTTCAGCTCTTGTCCACAAGGAGGCGCTAAGAGACCGCTTGCCGGTGTCCGCCAGGGGAGACGCCGCTCTAGGCTCAGCCTGCGCCCCAGCAGCATTTCCGCCAACGCCGGGCTGGTGGCGGGCGTGTCCTGGTTCTGTCCGCAACAGTCCCCGCACCGTCTAGCGCCGTGTTTTGGAACCAGGCGCCCGTGGTGACACACTACGGGCAGCGCTGCACGGAGACCCCCTTCGGTCCCCAAGGCTGGTGTGTGTCTCCCTGTCCCGACAGGAAACGAAAATGAGGCCCCGAGGGCGTGGGGAGAGCCGAGCAGAGGTCAGCCGCGAGCCCAGGCTCCGCCCGCGTTCCGAGCCCGTGCCTCCGCGGGTGTGGACCGCCCGAGCTCCGTGTCCTCGGGAGAGGGGTCTCGGGACAGCCGCGCCATCGGCCCACGCT